CGTTTTCTAATGTTATATTTGAGTATCACAAAGCACGTGAGCGAGTTGAGTAATGTTTAGTGTGAATTATCAAAAGCCTTACTATTGATGACTGATAACGAGAAGAAGGAACAGAAAAAAAGAAAGTTATGTGCACATTTATTCACGAACAGATAAGAAGAGAATACAGAAAAGAAAATGGTCGAGTGTCGAAATATTTTCAACTTTTTTCATTGATTTTCTTTCTGAGTATCTGTTGTCCGCGCAAGTAATTTTTATTCACGTTAGACGTTGAACAATTTGCTGATTAGTTAATAAAAAATTCTATGGTACATTAATTGAAAAACCAAAATGGCTAATCTGCTTCATGATTCGGAAGAGCAACGATTCGTTGACAGAATCCGATGTGTCACATATCGTGAAATACGTGACGAACTGATTGCAAGAACAGGAGACTCAACTATTACTCGCCCTTGGATTTCCGAGAAGCTACGTCGCAGTGAAGATTGGGTACGACGAAATTGGAATAAATCTATCGAAGAATGTTATACACAATTTGGCAGTGGTCGACCCCAGGTGCTTAATCAGGAGAGCAGAAACATTATCTCTTCTGCAAGTGGTGTCAAAAGCAGTAGCTGTCGAAAAGTTGCAAGAGAGATTTTAGAGAAAACAAAACAGCGGGTGAGTCACATGACTATTTACAATGAACGCCATCGGCAAGGATTAAAAGCTTTCCATGTGATTGCCAAGCCACTGAAGACAAATACACATATCGAAGATCGCAAGTGGCTAGCAAATTTTCTTACTGATTGGACTGAAGAAGATTTTCTACATGTTGCACCTTCGGATGAATTTTACATTCAATCGATTCTTTTCTTTTTCGTCACAGTAGTTCACATATAAGTGGACACGTGTACGAACACGTGACGTATTTATCATTATCATTATTTATATATTTATACTATTTTCAAGTATTATTTAACTTCACAATATGGTAAACAAAGATGTAGCTCCAAATGGAGCTTCTTTGCATGATAAACTGTTGGTGAAAGATTGTCGTGATGTTGAATTAACATTTCTAAAAAAGGTGAACAATGAATATTCGTCAGTATTGTCCCCGGGTGTAAGTGAACAAGGTGAAAAACGGGGTAGGACACCAAGCGATAATGAGTATGATCTTCAAGTTACTGGCCATGGAACACCAAAAAGAACACGAGCAGTTCAACGAAAAACACGTACAATTACCAACTCTTCGTATGTAGCGACAACTACAACTACAGCCAATAAGAATTTTTCTCACCAGAGAATGGAAGATGATAACAACCATTTATTAACTAAACAGAATGATACAATTGTTAATTCTGAAAGAAATAATAATAATAATAAAGGACGGGGGTGGATATTCTAGCAAAATAGGCCCTATTTGAAAATTCTCAGAAAACCCCCACTAATTTTATATGGTTACAAAGATAATAAACTCTACTATTTATCTGTATCAAATTTTTTGCCCAGGTATTACTTTTTACTAATAATTCGGCATATATATGCTTATGGGTATATTAATCGTAGTAGACAGAGGGACTTCAGGGCACATAGCACTACAAAACACGCCAAAGCAACTACTGTTATCTATCAGTCGATGCGCCAGAAAATGCTTAACAAAACTGTATAAAAATACCCAGGTCGAACTCACCTCATCGGATCCGATGGGAGTTCGTCGGAAGTTGTCGGAATCCTTGGTATCGGATTCCGACAGGAAGTTGTCGGATGTCGAAAAGTGTCAGAATGGCCAGGATCCTGTCAGAACCCTGAAAATCCGACACTTTCCGACATCCGACAACTTCCTGTCGGAATCCGATACCAAAGATTCCGACAACTTCCGACAAATTCCCATCGGATCCGATGAAATCCGATAATTTTTCCGATAGAATCCGACGGAAAGCGACTGTCGGATTGTTCGTCCTGGGTATATATGGTTCAACTATCATATACAGTACTTTTGATACAGAAACCTGTAAAATCTATACACAGATGACAACGGTTTCTTGGCTTGTATACCCTTTTCTCTATTATTCGACTACACCCCGGCGTCATTTTTTCTGCATAGATAGTCCCTATTGTAGGCTACAAAATCATAAGAACATCGAGCTTTCAAATCCTTGCCGAAAATTTTTTTCAAATACCACACTCGTATCTCTATAGTGAATTCATAGGATCCAGGCAGGGTTTTGATTCAAATGTCTGATATTCGACTACACCGCGGCGTCATTTTTTCTCTATAGATAGTTCCTATTGTAGGCTACAAAAACGTAAGAACATCGGGCTTTCAAATGCTTTCAGAGTACCTTCAATTATTACTCTACTATCCTATTTATAATATCAAGTGCATACAATCCGTATCGGAAGTCCTAAAACTCCAGAAACAGGGTTTTCTTTTACAAAAGTTCAATTCTGGTGTTTCTATGGGAGACCAGGTTTTGTGTCGACCTATGAAAGATAGTAATATTCGAGGTTCTTAAAGTGTGCATTATCAGCTCGAAGGTAACTTTTGTGATTATCGTATTACAGACGGAAAAAGTTGGTGTGTATGGATGATGATTTATCTTATATAATGTAAGTGAGTCATCCTAGAGCATACTATTCAATAAATGTTGTCGAATAAAAATCGAGCATAAGTCTAAGATATGTGTGTTTTGTGAGAGGGAACCGTTTTGATTGTATTCCAGAGTTATGAACGTATGAAAAA